TTAGGAACCCACGAAGGAATTTGCTTGAGGAATTTGAATTAGCCGTGACGCAGTGCAATTATTAGGTAACTATTCGAAAAGAAACATAACGAAACATCCATTTATCATTTACAAACAGGTTCCTCAGAGACTTTTCTCTTTCCCCCAGCAGAAGTGGAAGAGTTTAACATCTGAATTGAAACCGTCGTAGAACGGAAACGGTACGTTTCCGGACATGGGTTCCTAAACAAAATATTATGTACTCACTCCCCTCTACAAGTCCTAGAAGTTTGTAACGGGAATTTCCGAACATCCTGTATAATATAATTATAAATTTTTAATTACTAATATATTATTTGTTAAAACTGATTCTAAGGTGTAGTATAAATGATTTAATGTGTATTAAGTATTAATATTATTAAATTATCATATAAAACAAAGAAGTGTTTACAGAGTCGTGTTTTATAATCTATCAATGTAATCACAATCAATAAAGATTAAAAATAAAAAGCAGTTTTTTTTAATAAGGAAAAGTAGTGAAATTTGCGCATCTAAGTCAAAATCAACTTTATAATGAAATGAACAAAGATGGCCCACCAGTGGCCAAGTGGTTCCGTTTCCGAATACTGGCAGTTCGATCATGGGTTCGCGCCTCGCCAGGACGTGTTTTCCGGGTTTTTTCCACGTCTGTAATGCTTGAATAGGGACCAGTTATCCTTAAAAGACTTCCTGGAAGGCATTACTCCCCGCGTATCGACCATCATAAACGCATACAAACTACTATAACATGACAATTACGTCACTTTACCACGGGGCGATATAGCATAGAAACTCATGCCCAACTACCCAAGACAAGATGAACGAAGATGATTGAAATATGTGTCTATATTAACTCTATTTGTTATTTATATTTGGAATTTAAGAATATCTTGCGTTAAAAGCTGATACAAAATTAGTGATAATGTAAAAAAAGTTGCAATCGCGCAATTCTCTACTTTATTGGTAGTCACGCTCAGGAGGCAATTTTGCACACTAATATATAGATTTGACAAACAATATTTGAACAATACTAAATTACTGTATAACTTATTTATTTACAAAGATACTATTGCCACAGTCCTCATTAAAGTATTTAAAAGACAGTTACAAAGAACAAAACAGCTGAAAACAAAAATAAGTAAACCCAAAAGCATTTGCATATTAAAAATTATTACAGTATATCAAGTCGCAGATTGTAGAAATTTCCTCCGTTTTTTAATATCAGTTATTAACTATATAATCATTTAATGTTATGTGAATATGTTACAGATATGTTCTCAGAATTTTATGAAAAAATACTTTGTTCTATAAGAAACAAATATTTCTTTGTATTAGATTAAAAATAACGTGCTCAGCAAAATAATAATTAATAACCAAACACCTGTATCGTTGCCGAGAAAATTTAATTCAAACAAACGTTTTCGACCTATTCCATAGGCCATCGTCAGGATTAAAACGGGCAATCACAACGTAAAATCACAAAATTCACTTATAACAGATATGCCAAAGGCATTATGAAAGAAATTGCAGACCGCAAAGGATCAGCAATAATTCTGAAAAGGGCCCCGAACCTATATAAAATTTTAAGAAATGACAAGGATAGCATTAGGAAGGAAGAAAAAGCAGGTGTGTATAGGATACCAAACGAAAACCCACAGCTGGAGATTAAGAAAGATTATATCGGCATTACAACAAGGAATTTGAGTGTAAGGCTAAAGGAGCACAAGTATAACATCAAAAAAGTTCGAACGCGACGGTACTATCCCAGATGGCTCAGGCACAAAGTTCGGTAGTTAAATGGGATGATGCGGACATTATCAAACCAGTGAGATCTCCAACATTAGCGAAAACCGCTGAGATAATAGAGATTTATAAAAGCAAATTAAAGGAGACTTGTATTAATGTGAGGGACGCGGAAGGCCTTCCATCTGCCTGGAAGTATATTGTTAAAAAATCTGCCGGAAACTCATAATTTACACTTTAATTTTATTGTATTAGTTGATACTTATATTTAGTAGTATTTCTGAGTTTATTTTTATTTTATTCTTTGTTTTTATTATATTTTTTATACATTACTAGTATATTATCTTTTTAATCCGTTGTCAGTTTTTTGAAATTTGAATATTTGTATTCGATCTTGTGAAACGAAATCTTCCAATTGCCCATTTTAAACCTGACGATGGCCTATGGAATAGGTCGAAAACGTTTGTTTGAATTAAATTTTCTTGGCAACGATAAAGGTGTTTGGTTATTAACTTTGTATTAGCATCAATGATGGGTTACTGCGTAATTTGCTTGATAGAGTGTATTAATAAGTTAAATGTATTGTAGGGTTGTATGAGAGAAGATAACATAAAAAACAACACACGGGCAGTGCCGTAACTACGGCGGTGCCAGCAGTGCCCATGCACAGGGCGCAGAAATGACCTGGACCAAGTTTTGGGTCATAGTTTTGGGGCGTAGTTACAGAAGCTCGCACCAGGCGCATAAAAGGCTAGGTTACGGCGCTGCACATGAGTGATCTAACAAGCAGTGGCTCCTCCCAGGAAGATTTTTAGTGAAACTGGCTCCTATTTATAAATCAGACACGCGAAAAACCCGGAAAACTCCATAAAGGTAATTCGTTTGTAAAGCGAATTCGCGACCAACTGGTAGTAAATATAATATAATAATTATTTTACAGATGTAACTGTTGTTAAGTTTTACAATGACATACTCAAATATAAAAAAAGAGTCATTTTAACATATGAAAGCAGATTAAAGTGCATAGTGTTGTACATTATGTTTAAATATTAAATTTATTATTTAAGAAAAAATTAAGTTCAAATTATTCAATGTTTTACATTTATTTATTCATTTTAAGTCTTAAAGAGCCAATCAGAGGTCGACTGGTTACTGAATAGAATTGCATAGAAATGTAAATAAAACTTTCATTCAAACTATTTTAAGTTAAATAACTCCTGTGCTTTTTGTCGAAAATTTCTGAAATTTTGATGTTTGTGTATTAGGGGGATTGACGCTGTTAAATTTTGGTAGTAATAGGTCATTCGGGTGGGAATATAAAGGGGGTCGCGTATCGTATCTCGAGCGAGGTCGGACATAATGACGATTTTCCTTGTTATTAGAATTTACAAGTTTTTATAAAACCCATTCCTACTCTCAAAACTAATTTTTTTGCCATTTTATTGCCTAGGGAACCCAGGTTACTGGGGTGACGTATACACTTTCTTGTCCGAATTTTAAAAAAACTTCCACGTTAGATTTTGATGATTTTGGTGCAAAAATGCTCAGTATATCTCTGGCATGTGCACAAATTACATCTTGTAAAATATAATTAACTGTGAGAAAAGATATATTCAAAAAATCAAAGTGTCGCTTCTTTGACGCTGAATTTAAAAAAATATTTTGACATTTTTGGGTGCTGTTTTTTGCAACATAAAGCCAGAAAGTTGCTTAATATTTTCCAGAGTTTGGTGAATTTCTGTTGAACTACGGAAAAGTTATCCGAGTTCTAAAAACCAGAATTACGTTCTTCATCCTTACTAGATGATACCTAGCTCTTTAATTGCCTAGTTGTAATAACGGAAAGCTTCTGGAACTGGTATGGACCATCTAATTTCATTTTTGTAATAAAATACAGTCGATTCTGTTTAACTAGTAGCCTGGGACGCCCCCTAGTGGGCGTTATTTACAAATTTCCATGAGGCACGGTTCCTTTGACTTTTCTTCCTATCAATATGCTGTACAACTCTGTTAAGGTCTCAATGGTAAGATTTACCCTCCGAATGAAGAGGTGGCAACCCCCACAAACTGTAGCCCCTGTGCGAACAGTAAAGTCAAAGGCCCCATACCCCTACTCGCGATCCTTCGCGAGATATAAGCCCCTGAAATAATAAATTCCTATTACAAATATACTGAATTATTTACATTGTTATATTGACCAAATAATAATTTATTGGGCAAATGAATAATAAAAATTTATACTGTTAATTTAAATAAGAATTAAAATTGTTAATTTGAATGTTTGAAATATGACACACGATAGGGGCGCCTCTAGTGTCCGTTATCAAACTGTTACCGGACAGACAACGGATACCCGTTGAATGGGTTATATATATATAGATTAGGCCACCGGTTAATTGGGGCAGCCGCTTTTTTGGGCAAATATCAAAGAACGAAAATCAAACTAATAAACTAATACATAATTTAAACGCTTAAGACGAATCCAAACGTGAGCTCCAATTTATTCAAGACTTTTCCCGTTTAAATGCCAACTGATTTTATTTTATTATTTTTTTTATTTATTATTTTTTAATTTAGTTTACTTTATTTGTTTACTTTACTTTAATTTAATTTCTTTAGTANAAACGCTTAAGACGAATCCAAACGTGAGCTCCAATTTATTCAAGACTTTTCCCGTTTAAATGCCAACTGATTTTATTTTATTATTTTTTTTATTTATTATTTTTTAATTTAGTTTACTTTATTTGTTTACTTTACTTTAATTTAATTTCTTTAGTACACTGTTTTTTTAATCTGTATTTTTCGTCATATTTTTTCTTTACCGAACAATAAATCACTTATAATCTTTTATTTGTGACACATTACTTCTTAAACTGCGCGCCCGGGCTAATTACATCGATAAACGTTGTCTCGAGTTTCTCGTTATCACCTATCTAGTTACAGTTAAAAATATAAATAGATTTTTTATAAAATATGATTACAGATGGCGCCACTAAATGTGTCAGGGAAAGTTAAGCAACTCGATGCTGAATTTTTCTCTACTTGTTTTTATGTTTATGAATTTGAAGTTTCTATCATTCAATAGGGATATTTGGATATGTAATAATAACCAATAATAATACGTCATAAAAATTATTATTCCGAGACAGGAAATTCGAAATAAATCGTTGATAATAAATAGCGACACTCAAATAACTCAATATCTATAAATTTGACCGGTTATTAAAATAATTCATTGTTTGACAACAATTTTATCATAAAATAGATAATTTTCATCGTTCGTGTTTTTACCAATCGACAGATAAAAGTTTGATCTTTATACAGTATCTACGAGATATCAACGTTTCTTTAGACTTTGTAACAGTTTATACGGGAGTTAAAAGGAGATGAACGTGAAAATTGGAAGAGCATTAGTAACTGGTGGTGCACAAGGAATAGGAAGAGCTGTTTGTGAAGCATTGTTAAGCAGAGAATGTAAGGTAAGATTTTTCAAATATTTTAAAACGTATAGACTCATTAAGTTTCTTGTAATGTGGCAAAGATCGTGACCTTGATACTAAATATGTAACTATAATGAGTGAAATTCGAAAAGTTAGCACAAAAAAAAAATTGAATAATCAATTGAAGAATAAATTTACAAAATATTGCTTTATTTTATAAAAATATTTACTTATAATCGAAATAGAGCAAATTATTCCTGCTACTATGCAAAGATGTCCCCCCACGAAGACAAACAAATCATTCATAAAAACAGATAAAATATAAATAATAAAAGAAAGAACGAAATTTTTCAAGAATATATTCAAACAAATCAATTGTTTTATTAAAATACTAGCAGGTAGGCCCGGCGTTGCTCGGGCAAAAGTACGATAACTAAGATTAAGATTATTACGTTACAGTCAACCTTACCAGTTCTCACAAAATGTAAGAATTGGGTTCCCTTGTTTCCAGACTAATTAGAGAATTTTTAGATGGTTATAAAAATATGTTCGATTTCCCGAAAAAACGAAAACTGCATATTTTGCATGTTGCTTTCTCTTAACAATTTCATTGTTGACACTTCCATCGTTGACGGAAGTGTTAAGCCTTAATCCTGTCCCTCTCCCTCGTGGGGAGGAATTTCGAAAAATCCCTTCTTAGTGTGCGTTTTCGTGACGTACCCTAACTGTGTACCAAATTTCAACTCCTAACCGTTTGGGCTCTGCGTTTATTATTATTATTATTATTATTATTATTATATT